TTCCATATATTTGATTAATATAAAATATATAATCAAGCTGAAACTCGTTTAGCTTGTCCATGGTTGCCACTGAGTTGTAACTGAGAGTTAGCCATAGCAAGGTTGTCCTCATCTTCTTCATCAACATCTCTTGGTGTTGACTTGAAGTAACAAGCATAGAGTATAAGTTGCACTGCTCCTGATAGTGCCCCTAGTCCATTTCCGATCTATGATTTACAAAAATTAAATAAGTGATACTCTCGTACTATATAGACTATAAAAAATGAATAGTCCTATTTAATAAAGTAATGGGCTTACCAAAATGAAAAGATCGAATTTAATAAGTGCATAGATAACCCAAATGACACCGTTGAGGAAGTTGCCAAGTGAGAGAGAGAATGGCATGTACTTCACACTTTTGGTCTTGATCACCTTGCTCTGTTTCAGTCACAATAAAAAAAAGTGTTGTAAATTTATTTTGTCATAAAATATAAAAATGTTAAAATAAAGAAAAAAAGGAAAATAAATTTAATAAATAGTTACCATGATAGTGAGTGGGGCAATATACATGAGGCTAACAAAAATGACACACAGGATTCCCACGAAAGAAGATCTCTGGTTATGTGTGTGGAACAATAGCAATGTACATGTGGCTACTATTCCTACAAACACCATCTCTCCTATCAACCATAGCCCCACTTTCACCTGCAAAATTAATCAAATTTAACATCAATTCAGAATAAATTTTATACACTTTGTTTTTGCCTATCGCTATCCCAAAACAGAATCAATCATTGTCTATCTTTCCTTGTTGCTATAGTATTTTTGCGTTCTTTTTAAGCCGAAAAACCTAATTGAAACGAATCGAGTTTAGTTTTGTTTGGTTCATCTCGGGTTCATTACACTAAACCAAAAGCTCAACTTTTTCTTGATACACATAACAAATCTTGGTAGTCCTTTACAAAAACAAAAACCGAATTTACACTGAAAAAATATATATAATTTTTGTTGAAATATTTTTGATCTCATCTATAACCAGACCGAAAAGTTAAACAACTCCGACTCACTGTAAATTTTTAATTATTGCAACAAAATCAACTATCAACACAAACAAAGTTGTCTATTGTTTTTTTTTTTTGTCTAAATTTTGATGTGTGTGGACGATTAAGTTGTCCATTGTTACTTGAAAAAACATATGATCCAAACCAAACCCATTAATACACAATTACAGTCCCGTTGAAAAATTAACTAAACAATAACCACAATCAATATTTTGATCTGGTTTATAAAAATTTAGTTCATCTTTTCGCGCAACAAATCATCAAAAAAAAAAATATGTTCAAAAATTTAAGTAAAAAGGAAAAGATAAGACCTTGCGAGGGGTGGGAGAAAAGTAGAAGAAGATAGCAAGATAGAAAAGTTCGATGGCAAGACCAGTTGCGTTAATGGTGACCACAAGGAGACTATCTGGCTTAACCATTGGCATGCCATAAAAGACCCATAGTGCGCAATTTAGCACCGTGGCTAAGTATGGATCGGCTTTGTACTCCTCCACCATTTTTTTCTTGTATATCGTTATGAACGTTGGTCTGCATTAATAAAATTTACTCATAAACATTAACTATGGTATGTGTGTGCAAGAAATATCTAAGTTGTTTGACCAAAATAATAAGGTAATAAGAAAGGTAGAGAGATCAATGATTACATGGGAGATAGGAACAAGAACAAGGAGATGACATTTCCTACGCCAATTAACAAAAAGGTTAGAGATTCTTGAAAATATTCATAGACATATAAAACCGGCCATTAGTATATGTAACTTTGTGCTTACCACAAATGCCGGCAATGTTTCTCGCAACTGTTGCGTCAACCATTTCACTTGAAAACCAAAATCCGAATAAGACCAAGAACAAGA